GACTCGCGCCGAATCTTCTTATTGGACACTGTTGGGCCCTGTGTGCTTGGCTTGGAAGCAGGGCAAGAGTGCGTGTCATTCAAGCGGTGAGCCCCAGATCCAGGGTACGCAACAAATTGAAATGCTCCCTGTACACCAGCCCCAAAAGAACACCATAAAAACGAACAAACAAACAAACAAACAAACAAACAAACAAACAAACAAACAAACCAACAAACCAACAAACCAACAAACCAACAAACCAACAAACCAACAAGCAAACAAGCAAACAAGCAAACAAGCAAACAAGCAAGCAAGCAAACAAACGAACAAAACGAACAAGCAAAAAAGCAAACAACCAATGAACCAATCAACCAACCAACCAAACAAACAAACTGGCAAACAACCAAACAACCAAGCCAAGCCAAACCAAACCAAGCCAAGCAACCAAGCAAACAAACAACCAAGCTACGCCAAGCCAAGCCAAGCAATCAACAACCAAACCAAACCAAACCAAACCAAACCAAACCAAACCAACAAACACACACACACACACCCACACACACACACACGCATACATGCATGCGCAAACAACAGGAATAATTTCCACACGTCGACTATAGTGCAACCCGTGTTTTCTTTGTTTAAAAACATCGATTTTCGCCAGGCTGCCCTGTCAAGCACACGTAGAGGAGGACTCCTACGGAAGGCGGCACGTTGGGCTAGCCATGTGCTCTGTAGAGTACGGATCAAAAGTAAACCACCAGCAATCGGACCGCAGGTTTTCGTCCATTTACAAGGGCAAGCCATTTTTGGGGTTACCCCATTTTTGACCCACAGCTATTTAGTGGCGCTAGTGCAGGCAAGCCACCCAGTGACCACATGTCAACTGCCGGGCCTGGTCTTCAAATGCAAACGTGGGAACAGTCGCTTTCGGTTTGACAAGGGGGTGCTTCAAAGTCTGAATGAGTACTCCATACATATGGATAATATATGTATATATATGTACATATGGACCCCCGGTATGAACTCCTGGCTTATGGGATAGTCAACCAATTATTCCGCTGTGAGTAAGGGACATCAGCCCGAAAACGGTCCAACATGATCATGGGTTCTGAGAAGCCAACTGTACTTGCCGCTCAAGATCATCTCCGGCGCCATGTAGTGAGACGTACCTGGTAAGCTTGGGTTCACGACCAAAAGGCAATCCGCTCACGAGACCCGTGCTCAAAAAACATATCCACAGCGGCACCCACAATCTCAATGAACTGGTCTTTGGGCATGTAGCCATAGAAACGCGTCGCCAGGCCGAAGTCAATGAGTTTGACAGTCCTCGGTATCTCTTTCGAATCTCTCTTTTCAGGGGCTGGGATTTTGATTGACCGTGACCCACGCCTCAGGATCAGGAGGGTCACTGGCAGGGTTGGGCCGGCCCCCTCTTTAAACACGTTTAAGCGCCAATGGTTTAGACAGCCTTTGTTTGGTTCCCCTTGTCAGCAGCCTTTAAACTTTAAGCGCTGGTTGCTTGTGCCAATTTTGGCCAACCTCCACCGGGCTTGTCTGGCAACAACACCTACTCTGCTCCAGTCGCAAGCTTCAAGCAAGGATACCATCACTCACGGAACGGGGGCAAGAATACCGTGACAGCAAGCCATTCACAATACCAATGAAGGGGCGCTGGAGTCGAGGGAGCAATGTGGCTGCAAACAAGCTGGAAAAGCAAAGCGTCCTGTCATCGCCAGTGATCATAAAATTCTTGGCATTCAAGTCTCGGTGCACCTCATTCGCCGAAGGTCCACCCCATCCGCCCCAGGCAGCGGAATTGAAATGGTCAGCTAAGATTCTGGCGAACCCGTGCGCATGGCAGCACAGCACCGATTTCAAGCATTGCCTGGCATCTCACTTGAACAGCCACCTCCTCACTCCGATTTATTGGCGCAACATCTTTTGCCCTCCGGAGCTGACACAGGCCAGGATCCCCAGGACTCTGAGAGAACTGTTACAGCGGCCACTGCATCTTTGGCAGTCAGCCCATGTGGCTGTGGGCCAAAAATACCAACCCAAAATGAACCCTGGTCCCCCTGGTGGTTTAATTATGACCCATACCCAAGTGCCAACAGCACGTGGGCCATCACTCAGGTGGCTGGCAAACCTTGCTGTGCCCAGTGCCACAGGCACAACCCCTGCAACCTCGGCGAAACGAGACTGGCCGACCCACGGCATGAACACACGAGCACATGGTTGTAGAAAAACCAACTTATGAACACCATTTCTCTGATGCCAAAAAAAAGGTAAACGACAAAAAAGCTCATTCCACTAACTACTCATCACTTTGAAGGGGATGGCACAGGTCATGATCACTGAAAAGTGGAAACCCCAAAACTTGGGGAAACCCCTCGGCCAGCGCGCGGCTGAGACTGAGGCATGTGTCAAACTTCCGTCCATCTTTGCTTTCCGCCACTTTCCGGCCACACCTGGCGAGTGCGATTGAGCAGCAGGCGATTGCTCTGCTTCAACCCCTGCCTGTTGATGCAGAAGCCAGGCTCCACAGGCTCGTTAGAGAGCTCCTGCACATCCCTACATCTTTCCATGTGCAAATCTCCCCATGTGCAAAATGCCACCTCCTGAACTGACTAGAATGTAACCAGGGTCTCATAAGAAGCTGTGTCATTTGACACTTGGGGGCTGCGGTATTGACAACCTTCCACATTTCAACATGCAATGTGCGCTCGCCCGCTTCCTGCTTGCCACAATCAGGATCGTGGCTACCAGAGCTGCAATCCCGACAGCAGGTGTCAAACTTTCTGCCAGACGGGTGTCTGCCCGGATTCACCGGACGTCCACATCCATTCCTCAGGCATGCAAAATTGGCAGTCTGGCGCTGTGCAAAAGCCGAGGGCGCTGCTTGCATTTGCCAGGCCCCAGATGTGCGGGATCGATGTTGCCTTGGACGACCACAACATCCAGCAAGCCACCGAGAAAAAAACATGAAAAACAAACTACTTGCAGCAAGCCGCCGAGAACAAACATGAAACAGGACAACAAAACAAAACGACCATTGCTGCCGGGAACAAACATGAAAAAAGGACAAACAAAACAAAACGACCACTACTGGCAGCAAGCCGCTGAGAACAAACATGAAACAGGGCAAACGAAACAAAACAAGGTGTCACGGATTCTTGGAGCCCTTGCGCAGGCCATCGAAAAACCATCGGGACGTTTTCACTCGTTCGAGACACCCGAAAAACCCCAAAAGCCATCGGGACTTTTGAGTTGTTCAGACCACGCAAAGTGACTTTGGGGGGGGGGAGGGGGGTGTGGGGGGGGGGGGATGGTTGCGTTCGTGGTCACAGCGAAGCCCAAGAGCGCTGAGTAGAGATAGATGACCGAAAAAGCGCCATGCACCCCGCAGTCGGTGGGGCCCACGCAAGCAGAGCTGCACTCGTCACCAGGAGCTGCAAGGCCGCAGCGTCAGCAAGATGCAAAGCTGGCATTGGATTTGCAGGAGCAGTCGCTTCCTGCGGTTTTGGCCAAGCAGCATGGCACCTTGGACCTTCTGTCATGTGGTCATGCCGACCATTACTGGAGAGGCCTGCGCCGTTTTTGGCGCTCCTCCTCGGACAAGCTCAGGTACTACGCTGCTCTGATTGAGGCGGCAGGCCTCAAATCGGCCGGCGAAGACAGAAGCTGGCTTGGCTGCAAGGGCCTGGGATGCTATGATGACATGTGCCCAGGGAGAAAGGATACCTTGCAAGCTTTGCGGAAAGAGAGGTCATAGCATCCTCACATGCGGGATCGCGGGGGCCTCATGGGTGCGACAGATGAAGAAAGAGCTTCGCCTTCGGCAGCAGCAAGGAGGAAGGAAGCCGCCTAAGATGGGAGGCCCAGTCTACAAGCAAAGCAAGGTGTGCCACAAAGGCGTACAGCGGAAGCCAGCTAGCTGGCAAGAGGAGGATGGCCCAGGCAAGACGGGAAAGAAGGCAATCTTCCCCCCTCGAGGGTCACGCCGCTCTTGCTGCCGCGGCTGCCTTGGTGGAGAAGGGCCTCCTGCAGAAGCCTGATGGCTGCCCGGCTTGCCGCAAAGGCCGGCTCGGCAAGCTAGAGGCCCAGCTGAGACAGAAGGTCAACGTTGTGTGGCGATGTCAGAATGAAGACTGCCGCGCTCGAACCAACGTGATGAACTGCAGCCCCATCTTCCACAAGCTCTGTTCCCGCGGGCTGGCCGCTGACCAGTTGTACCAGGCCTACATGCCGTACACCGCGAGCGGTCCCTCGAGGCCGCCGACTCCGGTGAAGACCGCGCGGGCGATCGGCTGTGGCCGCAGGCCGCTCGAAAAGGTCTTCACCGCTCTCGAGCAGCATGAGGCTCGCCTGGGCCGCGAGTACTGCCGGCAGACAGTGCTTCGGGGAAAGGCCGCCTGAAATCACTTAGTGTGTGATTTTGCCTGGCTGTAGTTTTCCTTCTTTGCCTTGCATGCAAGAGCGCTGTTTCCCCTCTGTTCACCTCAGGTGGTGGCAGGGGGGCCCGCACGCTGTTCCTTTTTCCCCTCTGTTCACCTCAGGTGGTGGCAGGGGGGCCCGCACGCTGTTCCTTTCCCCTCTGTTCACCTTAGGTGGTGGCAGGGGGGCCCGCGCTGTTCCTTTCCCCTCTGTTCACCTTAGGTGGTGGCAGGGGGGCCCGCGCGCTGTTCTTTTCCCCTCTGTTCACCTTAGGTGGTGGCAGGGGGGCCTGCTGTTTCCCGCGTGCTGTTTCCCGCGTGCTGCTTCCCGCGCCCAGCCCCCTAAACCCTAAACCCTAATAAAACTGAGTACTAAGCCCCCGACCTTAAAACCCCAAAACCATTATGTAAACCGCAGAAACACTGCCCAGGTTGAGGGAGACGCAACTTGCTTGCGCTGCATCCGGGTCGGTCCAAAGACCACGAAGTTTAAGGCCTTGGTGCAGGCATGGGTTTCCCGGCACAAAGGGCAGAAGATGCCCAAGCATTTTCTTTTGTATGTTCGAGTGCTTGGCTTGTGTGAGCGTGGCAGTCAGAGGATGATTATTGCACCGGGCAAAGCCCGGCTGGTGCCAGCAGGTGGACGCCCGCCGACGGAGTCGGTGGCAGAGGTGACAAAGTCACGCCTGCTTCTTAACGTGCGGGCACGCACGGATCTCTTTTGCGATGGCGCGAAAGCTTGGAGCGCAGCATCCAAGCGTCTCCCGAATAAGAAGCTTCGGGTGCACCATGTGGCTCACGTGAAGTCACAGTGGACAAAGAAGAAGCGCCATGAGGGTCGACTTCTCTTGTGCGGCACGCAGAGCTTGGACAGATGCTGGCACCACTTGAAGAGGTTTCAGCAGCCGCAGACCAAGTCGCGGCAGCATGGGCTCCTCAACGCTCACCTGTGGGACCGAGTGTACCAGTGGGTGTGGCGTCACTCTCAGGTCGCCTAGACCGAGGCATGGCCTGCTGTTTCAGGGGCGTGGCCTGCTGCTTTTTTTGCTGCCCACATGGTGGTGCGGTTTTTCAAACGATCGTGCGGGTGCAAATGATTGTTTTTGCATCGTTTTGTCTTCATGGCTCCCCCCAAACACAGTTTTTGGTCCCCTACGACCGTTTTTGCAACACCTCATCTTGACAATTCCACACGCAGGCCATACGAAACAGTGGTGTTAAGCCGGGCTCTAAGAATCCGTGTTACCAAAAACCACTACTGGCAGCAAGCCGCCGAGAACAAACATGAAACAGGAGAAACAAAACAAAGCAACCACTACTTGCAGCAAGCCGCCGGGAAAAGAAACATGAAACAGGACAAACAACACACATCCAGCAAGCCTCCGAGAAAACAAACATAAAACATGAAAACAAAACAAGAACGAGCACTACATCCAGCACGCCGCCGGAAAAAGGGAAAACCAAAACTGACGGCATTCAACTGCGCCCGAGCATCCGCAAGTCATGTCATGGCCAAAGCCCAGCACGCAGCCACGGCAGCATGTGGTGAAGGACTTGCCGTTTTTGGTGGTGCCGGGCGCTACCTTTCGACCACAGCCCTGCAGCGGAAGTTGCGTCAGCCCATGGAGGCACATGGGTCTGTGTCACATAGGGCGGACCCTCAAAATGCGTGTTTTTCTATGGGTTTCCCTTCACTTCAAAGCAACCCCCCCGCCAAAAAAAAGGAACAACGAGAATTCGGGCCCCACACAGCTCTGACAGTAGAATGGCAGGGGCCCATCCCGCGGTCCTTCTTGCAGAAGCCCTCTGGGACTCCGTGTGCATCTGGAGTCTCCTTGTCCATCAAAGCCTGCAGTCTAACGTCTGTGTCCTACGTGTTTTCAGTTAGCGTCTGTCGAACTTCCAGCAAATGTCTCAACAGATTCCGGGTCTGTCTGCCCCATTGCGCCCCGAAAATGAGCGAAAATGGCACGCTGCTTCGCCTAAAATTCGACCTGGGCTAAGGAAATCGGCGTGCATGCGCCGATGTTGAGATCCTTGACATATCGCTCCACTTAGGCTACGACATGTCCGCACTCAGCACCGAGGTAAATCAGAACCAAGGAGCCCCCCAACAGTGGATAGGCAAAACACCTGCACCGGTTGGCTGGTCCCGCTTTTGTTAAACGTGGTTCATCCATGCCAAGTGGTGCGCTTCAAGGAATTTTGCGCATCATCCAACCCCTCCGCAGCTATTTATGGTTGGGAGTATCCGTTACTAACCTTCACCTACCCGGGCTTTGATTGTGGCTCATATATTTTATATATACACACATGGACCCCCGGTATGAACTCCTGGGTTATGGGATAGACAACCAATTATTCAAGCAACTCAGGATCCTGCGCAGAAAAACCGATCGGCTCGCTGGGTGCGGCGCGTGAAGTCGTTCTTCCCAGGCAGCAGCTCCCAGCTTGGCGCGCTCCTCCCGCTCCATGCGTCGCCTCTCCTAGTCACGAACCGCCGACCTCTAGAAAAAGCCGACCACGGCAACCGCCGCGCAATCCCAATCCCTAACCCCTAGTGGAACACAACAAGAAAACTCAAATCCATCTGTCATGCAGAAATAATTTTGAACACCCCAGGCAGCAGGAACAACAACAATACCCCCCATCCCTGCCATGCTGCTAAAATTGCCCCTTTCTCCAGCGGCCAGACAAATTTGCGGGCGCCATGCAACTGCCAAATGAATGCCAAAACCACCGACCGCCGGACGCCTCGTCAATCCAGGAGAACTTCCAGTTGAACCTCCAGACTCATGAAGAAATACAAAAAGGCAAGCAAAAAAACCAGGGGGTGCCTTCGTTAAAGGGTACCCCGTTCTTGTGGTTTCAAAGGGAAACCACCATTTTTGTTGGCCCCTTAAAAAAGACCAGGCGAGTACGTACAAAAGAGACAAGGCGAAATCGCTGGAAACAAGAAGCTGGCCGCTAACCAATTGGAAAACAAAGACACGGCCATGTAGGGAACCAAACAAATAAAACAATTTTCTCCATAGGTGGCCTTTTGGAAAAATAGATGGGTTTCCCTGGTAAATGGAAGAAACCAACCATCTAAACCAGGAAAACCCCTCTATTTTGAAAGCAAACCAACCAAAAAGGACACCTATGATTTGTTTTGACCCATATCCATGTAGGGAACCAGACAAATAAAACAATTTGCCCTAAAAAAGACACACCCATGTAGGGAACCAAACAAAAAATGCTCATCCTGGCCGTGGAACTTGGCCGCGACCGCCTTGATCTTGTCTTGGTCCGGCGCTTTCCGATGCCGCGGGTGCGCCACCAATCGCTCCACGTGGTTTGCGAAGCACAGCTCGCCGTGGATCTGCGTCTCCTGCGGGCTGTTTGCGTTGGTGCGTCGTGCCAAAAACTGTTTTTTGGTTTTTGTTGTTGTTGTTGTGTTTCTTCTTCCTTTTTTTTTTTGGGGGGGGGGGGGGCAAACACTTTTTTTTTTTTTGGTTTCGGGGGGGCGGGTAGATGTCATCTACGCAAATGGCACTATTTGTCCTTGTTTGTCCGTAAAGCAGACGATACAACCTAAACAGGGAGGCTGTCTTCAACTGTGAGGCAGGCATCGCACATGTTCCTAGAGCCTTGCCATTTTCCCATGTCCCGAAACCCAAGGTGGTGTCCAACAAGGACACTTTGTGTTTGACAGCCAGGTTGGAATCTCATGGAAACTGTCGCTCTGGATGTGGGGTTGCCATTGCCAGTTTCGGCCCGGCGAGGCTTGCGACAAGCTTTTAGGTGAAACCCACTGCAGCACACCGATAAGTCTCGGTCACGAGAAAATCCATGTGCATGTGTCTCAAAATGCTGGACTCCATTGGGTGGGAAGGACAACGCGCAAAACAAAAACAAGAAAGAACAAAAAACGAGTCAGGACAACTTGTTGTGGAGAAAGGAGCAAGTGAGTAATGGGACTCGGCATGGAAGACACGACTAATGGCCTTTTGACTTGCCCGAATGCCCCCTCGAAGGTTTGTGGGAACATAACCGCTTCCCAACGAAGGTTAAAGATCCCAGCCAAATAGCAGTCAAGACATGCTGTGCGCTCGGGCTCTCGCCTTGTACTTCATGGAGCCAACTTTGGAAGAGTCGCCCAGCAAGGCGGCATCTGAAGACTTGGCAACGTGAATCCTCGGGCAGGAAAAGCCAGGCAAGGCTTACCTTGCTGGAAAATCCGATGGGTTTTCATCTCTACCATTCTGGAAGCCAGCTTGGTGTTTGTTTGTTCTCTCTTTTTGTGGGAATTACTGCCTTAAACAACTCAGATTTGCGTTCTCGTCAAGTTCTGGAGCGTCTTTCTGCGGCAGCAGTCGCGGCTAAGGCGACCGCGTCTCCCGGAGCTCTGCATCACTGTACTCGTGGAGCCTCAAATGGCTGTGGGTCAAAAATAGGTACCTAAAATGGAACCCTGGCAAATGGAAAAGTAGACGAAAATCTGCGGTCCCCGGGTGGTTTAATTTTGACCCACTGCCAAATGGAGTCAAGGCCATGGATATGGATGGCCACAGCAGGCCGTAGGCTTCACCTGAATGCCCCACTGTTGTTTTTTCTTTCTTATTATTATTATTTTTTAAAGCAAGCATCGCGAGAAAGCACAATTCGGGATCGACATGGAGCACTCGCATCCACATGAAACTGCTGGACCTAGTCGGAAAAAAGGAGTCGTGATTAAAGGCAACATTTGGGTTTGATGACGTGGCATCCACCCAGGATCTTGCCGTGTTGAGGAAACCAACCATGCGGATGTCACAATGATCTGGTAAGAGGACACCCAGCCTGGTAATGACTGGGAGCGGACACCCGACCAAATGGCAAAAACACTCCCAAAACACGTCTTGGAACACTATGGGCGTCGGAGTCTCCGTCCTCCGTATTTTTCGCATTAGCCTCTGTGCCCCGGGCACATGCCCATAGTAGTCCAGCACAGCTAGGCCTTAGGGCAGTGGCCATGAACAATGCGCGACTCTGTGTGAAACCAAAAACACTCGGTTGCTTTCTGCTCCCCTGCTAAAAGTTTAACTTTCGGTTTAATGGAACACCCATTAGTTGGCAAAAAAGTTAAAGTCCTAGCATCCAAGCAAAATGCACCAAAGAGAAAACCCCCACCCAAATCCGAATCAGGCCACCCAAATCTCTCCACGCCAATTTGCTGGCCAACGCAGTGCCCGCCAGCTCTAGCCAACACAGAATGTGGGATCTGAAAAATGGAGCCCTGCCCCTTCCCATCACAGGTCGTTAAAAAACCCTAAGAACTTCCTTGCGAACCGTTGCCGATGTTTGCATTGGGGCGGGGGGGGTTCCGGGGACGGGTCAGGGGTCCCGCCCTTTTCGCGCAGCGCTCGCGCTGCTCGCTGAGCTGCAAGCAGTGGAGAACGTTTGGAGAAATGGGGCCGTGACGCCCATAGTTCTAGGGGTTGATTCCCCATGTTTAACCCTCGTCCTTTTCAAAAACCAGCCAGTTCCCTTGGGTTTTTGGAGGTTTTCTAGAAAGAAGTATCCCTGGAAAGAATGGGGGGAAGTTACCCCTAGAGTTCTAACCAAGCCATCTGAGCTTCCAGCGCTCCGCCTTCAAATTGGCCGAGTCTTCCGGGGAGAAGGTGCAGCGAAGGCGCCTCATGTTGAGCTGGGGACAGGTTGCGACTGCTGCTTGGGGCTGGTGAGGCATAGACCTCCCCCAAAACGGGCCCTTTTTGCGAGGGAGTGACGCTTGCATTCCTTTCAACTACAGCTTCATATATACACATATAAACATGCGTATGCATGAGAAACGAGAGCGGGATAAATAAATCACAGCTTGCAAAGGTCACTTGAACGAGGGTCAACCAGCAACTGCTCCTCAACACTCACACATGTAATAATAAAGCACGCATGCAACCAAGCAAGCGATCAATCCAAACCAATCCATCAGTCTTTCCCTCAAAGCATCCAAAGAATCCACCAGTCAATCAGCCCATGAGTCAACCAGTCTGGCAATCCACCAAATCTATAAACGGTAACGGTGCTTTTTTTCTAGGGCTGTTTTTTCCTAGGGCTGGTTTTCCGCAGGGCTGACAACATCCCCAGCATCACCCTCAGCACTTGGCCCTGGGGCCGCCTATTGGCTCTGATTTCATGGCAGCTGGGAGTTGCTGGGGGCTGGTTTAAGTTAGGGGGGCTTTTGGCTGGCTTCGATCTTCATGAGGGTGCGTCTTGGGGAGGTTTGGGGTTGATTTAGTAGAAGCAAAAGGGCTGACATCCAGGCTACTGTTGGGTAGGTTTAGGGTTGACTTTGAGTGGGTTTGGGTTGGCTTGCAGCTTAATTGCGTTAGGTGTGCTGATGGTTTAGCAGCGGCTTTAAAGTTGCTTTAGGTGTGGTTAAGTGAGTTGTTGTCGAGTTTTGATGGCTTGGGAGCGTTACCACAAACAACAAGCAAGACACAACAACACATTAACCAACAAACAAAACAAAACCAGCAACCAACCAACCAAACAAACCGCCAAACAAACACACATAGTTACATACATACATACCTGTATGCATACATACACACATGCATACATGCATACATTACATACATACAAACAAATATGCGCACACGCATACATACATACATAATACATACATACATACATACATACCTACCTACCTACCTACCTGCATACATACATTACATACGTACATACATACATACATACATCCGTACATACATACATACATACATTACATTACATTACATTACATACATACATACATACATACATACATACATACATACATACATACATTACATACATACACACACACATACATACATACATACATACATACATACATTACATACATACATACATACATACATACATTACATACATACATACATACATACACATACATACATTACATACATACATACATACATACATACATACATACATACATACATACATACATACATACATACATACATACATACATACATACATACATACATACATACATACATTACATACATATACATTACATACATACATACATACATACATACATACATACATACATACATACATACATACATACATACATACATACATACATACATACATTTACATACATACATACATACATACATACATACATACATACATACATACATACATACATACATACATACATACATACATACATACATACATACATACATACATACATACATTACATACATACATTACATACATACATACATACATTACATACATACATACATAGGTACATTACATTACATACATACATACATACATACATACATACATACATACATACATACATACTTACATACATTACATACATACATACATACATACATACATACATACATACATACATACATACATACATACATACATACATACATACATACATACATACATACATACATACATACATACATACATACATACATACATACATACATACATACATACATACATACATACATACATACATACATACATACATACATACATACATACATACATACATACATACATACATACATACATACATACATACATACATACATACATACATACATACATACATACATACATACATACATACATACATTACATACATACATACATTACATACATACATACATACATACATACATACATACATTACATACATTACATACATACATTACATACATACATACATACATACATTACATACATACATACATACATACATACATACATACATACATACATACATTACATACATACATACATACATACATTACATACATACATACATACATACATACATACATACATACATACATTACATACATACATACATACATACATACATACATACATACATACATACATACATATACATTACATACATACATACATACATACATACATACATACATACATACATACATACATACATACATACATACATACATACATACATTACATTACATTACATACATACATACATACATTACATTACATTACATTACATTACATTACATTACATTACATTACATACATACATACATACATACATACATACATACATACATACATACATACATACATACATACATACATACATACATACATACATACATACATACATACATACATACATACATACATACATACATACATACATACATACATACATACATACATACATACATACATACATACATACATACATACATACATACATACATACATACATACATACATACATACATACATACATACATACATACATACATACATACATACATACATACATACATACATACATACATACATACATACATACATACATACATACATACATACATACATACATACATACATACATACATACATACATACATACATACATACATACATACATACATACATACATACATACATACATACATACATACAATACATACATACATACATACATACATGCATACATGCATACATGCATACATGCATACATGCATACATGCATACATACATACATACATACATACATATATACATACATTAACACACCCGTACGTACATACAGGCATACACACAAAATTACAATGCATACATACTTACACACATACACTACATTACATTACATTACATTAAATTACAGCCCTTACATACAATACAGAACAATGCACATGTACATGCATACATGCATGCATGCATGCATACATACATACATACAGTACAATACAATACAATACATTACATTACATTACATTACATTACATACATACGTTACATACATACATACATTGTGACATACATACATCACAATGGTTCACACTTTGCATATATTGCATGCATTACATGAACTACATACATTGCAGAACAGTACAAACTTGCATTACATACATTAATTGTAACATACATGCTTTACATATCTTACATAGTTTACATTGCATTACATTACGTAACGTCAGATAACATTTCATTTCAGTACATTACATTACAGTACATTACACATACATTACATTGCATTGCATTGCATTACATTACAACACACATTACATGCGTAATTGCAGGACACTACCTTGTTGCTTTACATTACATGCACTCATACATAAACACATAAACACATACATACATACATACATACATACATACATACATACATGCATGCATGCATGCATACATACATACATACACTACATACATACATACATACATTACATACATACAAACATACATACATACATGCATACATGCATACATGCATACATGCATACATGCATACATGCATACATACATACATTACATACATATATACATACATTAACACACCCGTACGTACATACAGGCATACACACAAAATTACAATGCATACATACTTACACACATACACTACATTACATTACATTACATTAAATTACAGCCCTTACGTGCATGCATGGATACGTAAGTGCATGCATACATGCTTGCATGCGTGCATACATACATACATACAGTACAATACAATACAAAAATTGGTTGCATTACATTACATTACATTACAGTACAGTACATTGTACGTTACGTTACACTACATTACATTGCGTGACACATACATACATACATTACATGAATACATGCATACATACATACATACATGCATACATACGTACATACATACATTGCATGCATTGCATACATACATACATACATACATACATACATACATACATACATACATACATACATACATACATACATACATACGGATATACATACATACATACATACATACATACCATACCATACCATACCATACCATACCATACCATACCATACCATACATACATACATTACATACATACATACATACATACATACACACATACATACATACATACATACATACATACATACATACATACATACATTTACATACATACATAAACACATAAATACATACATACATTACATACATACATTACGTTACGTTACACTACATTACATTAATACATACATACATACATACATACATACATACATACATAGATACATAGATACATAGATACATAGATACATTACATTACATTACATTACATTACATTACATTATGACATTACATTACATTACATTACAATGCATTGCATTACATTACATACCAACATACATCATACATGCATGCATGCATACATACACGCATAAATGCTAACTAACCAACGGCACAACACAAACAAACAAACAAACAAACAAACAAACACTCAATCAAACAAGCAAGCAAACAACCAACCAAACAGACTAACACACACAGAAACAACCACATGAGTGAACACACACACACAAAGCAAGGAAGCTGTCAGTCAAGCCACAGGCGAATCACGCTTGCATCGTACACATAGCAAGCACATAAGCAAACAAACAAGCAAACAAACTTGCAAGCAAAACAAGCAGACTAACAAACACACAGACGCACACACCGCAAAAATCATGAACCCCGGTGATCGTGTGAATACGTGGTTGTTCAAACCGCATCGAGCAATTCTTGAGCATACACGTCAAACTTTAGGACAGAATCACCCATGACTAGCAGGTGAGTACACAGAGTTCTGGCAGCCAAGCCACACGTCCTTGAGAACCAAGTAACTGTCGCCATACTGTGCGCACTTCACCACCCCGCGGTGGTCATTCATAGCGTTGAGCACGCCGTACTTACATCTGTCAAAGCCCTCGCGCTGCTTTGCAAAGAAAAAACAAAACGTGGCCTCCCAGCTCACGGAACTGAACAGGTGGGCCCGAAAGAAGCTTCCTCTATACAATTTTGAGTTCCAAGTGAACTTGTAGCTGAATTGTTCGAATGAAAGCTGCGGGTCCAAAGACATCGGTGAGGATCTTGTAAACATGTTCCGACTTGCAGGCTTGCAGCTGGAGGTTGCAGGGGTTGCTCCGTCGCAAGGCCTCCAGAACCAGATGCGAGCCTTGGAAAACCTTCCGGTGATTGATGAGTTTCGAATGGGTGCGGATTTATTTCCTTTTCCTTTTCTTTTTTTTGGGGGGAGGGGGGATTTCAAATTCTCTCTTTCGAATTCTCTTTTCGCCTGGGCTCCATCGTAGTAGCCGCCGAAGAGGTCTTTCTCCCACTTCTCCCGGGTGGCCGGTTTCAGCAAGCCTCCGCTGCTGGCCGTCTCGAACCTGGGCCCGCGGCTTGGGGCCGAGAAAAACTGTGGTAAACGTCCGGATGGCGGCGGCATGTGGCTGTGGCTCAAGAATAAACACGAGGGGTTACGCCGGGTTTGGTCCATGTTTCCACTTACCAGGGTTCCATTTTGGTACCGGTTTTTTGAGCCACAGACATGTATAGTGTCCGTCGTCAACTTGTGCGAGAGGCAGGGAATGAGACATGGAATGAACCTAAACCATCCAGCTGGCAACTGGTGGTTTCCTTTGGGACCAACGCCTGGGTTCCTTAAGTTCCCTCGGCCCCTAATTCCCTGAGTTCCTACAGCAGCAAGTCAACACCAGCCTGGAAAGGCCCGCTTCTTGCTTTCACCTCTGTTGAATGCTATGCCCTCCGAAGGCACTTCAGCCGACTGCAAGAACAGCTTGGTTGCTGCAAAGGACCCCCCTGCTAAGAGTTGGACTTTTTGGGGGTTTAGTGGAAAACCCCAACTTGATTTCCCAAAAAGTTAAAGTCTAAAGATCCACCCACCCCAATAGCAGTCAAGAACACACCATCCGTTTATGCCCTGCCTACCTGCTGGCATCTAGCTATAAACGCTTCTGGGGCCCCAATTCGAAGGGGGGAATGACCGTGACTTCATGCTTGGATATCCCTGGCAACCCCAAGTGACCAGGTTGACCACGGGGGGCTGATTTCGGTAGTGCGTGTCTTTCTCCATGAAGTGAAGCATCTTTGAGAGGTCCAGATGCACCAGGATCGGCGCCATCTCGCGAATCCAGGCCAACCTCGATTCGAAGGGATCGCGCCCATCCAAACCCCCCAGCGGAAGATGTCATCAACCCCCGTGCCCCTTTTTCTCACCTCGGTGGCTCCTTTTTAGCCAAAACCTGCATGGGCTGCCCGCCTGGCCTAGAAAACACTAGGAACTCATAGATTGAGAAGGAAGGCTCCTATGTCAAGACCAAACCTGGGGTTGCTCTTTTGCCAGCCCTTGCATCCCCGCGCTCGCTTGCCACTGGCAACCTGTCTCTGCAAGGGTGCCACCCTTGGCCAATTTGGGGCCAACCACTTCCAGATCTTGATTGCTTCTTGTTGGGTGCCACGGGGCGTCATCCAGAGATCCGTGTCGCGGAAGCCCAAGTTTGCCAGACGCTTCTGCAGCTTTGGCAGGGCGTCGTCGTGGTTCCGCTTCGCCAACGCCCGGATGTGCCGAACCTCGCGCGCACGCCGAGCACGGGAAATGTGGGGGGAGGGCTGCAAGTGGAGGGAGTACTGTTGACAAGAACGCACAAGCAGAAACATCGCGCGCTCAAATTGCTCAACACAAAAGAGCACAATTTTAGCTCAGAACTCACGTCTCAAAATTAGCTCAACTTCCGACAAGCACGACAAGCCTGCAAACTGCCGGTGTCTGCGCAGAAACCGCAGGTGGACTGGATGGTCACACCCTCAGTTCGGATGCTAAGGCTTGGGCTGCCTTGCGCTGACAGTCCACCAGCTTGGCGGCTTCGGTGAATTCCGTGGGCGGCACCACAAGTCGCCAGTATGCCTCGCCAACAAAAAAAACACACAAAAAAGAACGGCCAGCCAAATGGGAAGCAGCCCCCAACATGGACCCCCGAACGGGACCTGGCACGGATCGATCGATCCCAGGCCTGAGCATCATCTCGGATACCGGCCTGCGAGCATTGCGCGGAATGCCCGACACAGAGGCGCGATGCCGCTGGCATTCACTTGCTGGTGCTCAGGGAACCGGAAGGGGATTCCCTCAAAAGCCATACGCCATGGTTTATAGGTGTCATTCCCGCCCTATCCAAGCAGCATATGGCAACCTTGCAACCCATACAGCTTGACTCGCTTGCTCCGCCTCAAGGAGGTGCACGCGCAGAGCGGCGGGATCAACTGCCTCCCCCAGACTCCTCAAAGAGAGAGAGAGAGAGAGAGAGAGAGAGAGAAAGCGCACAAAGGTCTCGGATATGTGTTTTTGGGTAGTTGCCTGAGGCTCTGGAGAAACAAATCTTGCTTGAAAAACCTGAGAATGTGATTGAATTACTTTTGTGTTTTCCGCTTAGATTGGGTCCGTCATCAATTTCTACAATGGCTCCCCAATCGGCAAATAGGGTATCTTATACCGCCGATATGTTTCAAACCTTCCTCACTTTTCCATCCGCTTCGCCCAGAAAGGCCTCACAAGGCCGCGTGTCTGAATCCTCGGCTTAGGGGCCCTTTGGGTGGCCCTTTGGCCTTACAAGTTTGGCATGGCCGCTGTTTCGAAAGGAACCTCCCAGTCATGAAAGCTGACGCCTTTAGTAGTTTGTTGGACAGCGGGCGCTTGGATGAATCGGGAGTGAGCAAAATGGTTAGTATGTAAGGGCTTGTTATGTTCTAATTGGGTGTAAGCGGTGGATTACTAACCACTTCGCCAACTCCTGGACCATCCGAACCATGGCAACGAACGGCATTCTCGCATTCCAAATCCAAGTGCTCACGGAATCCGTCTTATTTCACTAATTAGTGGTTTTGAGGAAGCAAATGCTCCCTGTCCACTTGCTGACATTGTTGGCAAGAGGGTAGCTTACAAAGGGAAACCAGGGTCCCCTTAACTCCGTTTACAGGAAACATTCCCCAAATTAAAGGTCATGTTCAAAACCAAACCGAGAGCTATAATTAGTTGGAACCTTGGCCTATACGACAAGAAGGGGGTTCCTGCCATAAAGGTTGTTCTGGCTTCCATGTTGATTTGCACTGGAGTAGTCCACAAGGACCTTCAAAACTTCCGAAACGAGGAGCCATAGGAGTCTGAAAATTACTTTGGGCCTTGGTTTTCTTGTCAAACCGCCATTTAGCTTGAAAAACACGTGAGGTCGTCACTTGGATGGCCCCAGAATTCCAATGCTAGATCCTCCAGTAGAGAGGTTAGAATAAGGGTTAGCCTTTTTGTTTTCTTCTGTAGTCTATTTTAGCAGGGGAACCCAAAACCCCAAAAAAGAAACGGGAGAGGAAGGGCGGGCACCTGGCTGGGGGTCCCTGGAAGCGATGCAGGGCGAGGGGCCCATGTGTGGTCTCCATCTGCTTGCGCCGCACTTCGAAGAGCCGCAAGGAGCCGCCCATGCGCCCCACGTAGTGCCGGAACTCCTCGAGGCTCATCTTCCGGTCCTCAGGCCCGCGGGTGGGGGGGGGGGAGGGAGGGAGGGGGGGAGAGGGGGACCCTCGGTGAATTAGGCAATGGGCTGAACGTTGGGATTTCCACTGAACTGGTCACAAGACCGGTTCCTTGGGATTGGGGATGGAGAAGAATCCTTGAAACAGGGGTTTTTAGACAACCGCGTTGCAGGTTCCTGCGGGAATGATTTCCCACAGAAGTTGCATGGCGCCGGGTAGGGTTCGGGGGTGGGGGCCCTTTGTGGGGAGACCTGGGGAATGGCAACGAGGTGCCCATGGTTCCCCAAGTAGGCAGGACTAAAAACTATGGCGCAAACCACTCTTGTCGGAACGGCCTTTCGGCTTCCTTTCAAGGCAGACCTGACTTGGGGGCACAGGGCATGGAATGCAAATGCTGAACATAAGGCTGAATATGGAGGTCATGGAAAGACAGACCAAGACAAGAATGAATCAAAAGGAACAACTTGGCAGAATCTGCGCCCACAAAAGGTGCGAATGGCCCATGCAATGGCCTTGGGCTTGATCAACCCCAAAGTTAATATCCCGGCAACTTTTGCCAGAACTGCTGCAAATCAATATGCCGACTTGCTGGTGCTCAGTAGGGAATGTGAAAACGGACCCAGGCATCCCCTTAAAGAACGCCACAACACCACAAGGGATGGTATTTATAAGGGTCATTTCTTCATTCCCTGCCGGGCACCAGCAAGCCGACAGGATAGCTGGGTAGCCACTGTGAACATGCTTATTTGCGAGGCTCCATATTCAGACTTGATTCTGGCGGGCTGGGTTGCCATAATTTCAATATCTTGCTTGACGTGCTGGACAACCAGCATCTTCGACGTGTGTATCCTGGCCAGTTGTCCCGTTTGTGGGCGTAAAAGACCATGAGCGTTCCACAAACAAACAAACAACCAAACAGTCTCTGTGTTTGTGGCTGGGGCGCTAGGCAAATAAAGGGGTTGACAATGACAATGACCAAGGCTTTTCCCAGCCGCCTGTTCTCTCGAAATGAGTCATGTGCAAGCTGCGACTTCTCATCTCATATGTTCATGTTAATCGCCTTCTCCCATCCAAAAATTGAGTCGACGTTGGATCTTTTCGCGAGCCATCCGCGGCTGCCCCGTGAGCTTCGCTGAGGCCCTGACGCCGTCAGTATCAACCGCGGTCAGGATCTTCTCCACATCGGCGTCTTCCTCAGATGGCTTCTACTCTCAAACCACCCCCCAAAATAGCCACAAAGGATACGTGGGGACAAACTCATCTGATATGTTTTACTATAATTCCAAAACCTGAAATAAGGGATGCCCAAGAAAAGGATCTTTACCACGGTGAGCTCACCATACCCCAGGCGAGCTCGCCACATATTGTGCAGAAACCATATACAAAATAGCCACTATACCCTCCATGGACATACCGCAAAAAATAACCACTATATATTTGGAAAACACGATAGAGAGAGAGGGTATCGGGTGCAGTGCTCTGGGGCTAGTGGGCACAACATCTTGCAGTAGATCCCGGCGGTGTTCCATGAGCCCAGCTGGCTTTTGACTTTTTCCACCAAGGGGCCTTGGGAAAGCCGAGGTACTCCAGCATCATGCGGACCTGTCACATCCAAGTCCCAAGGCGCTCAAGCCGACCGGACCCAGCCCAATGGGAGTTCTGGAGCTGATCCCGGCTCCAACCATTTTCTTAGGGACAAGCCATGGGAGTCAAAGGGCAGCACAAACAACTCAACCAGCATTGGAACGTGTGTTGTGTGTTCATGTACGTGTTTGGGTTGAGTTGTTTGTGTTGCGTAGTTGAGTAGTTCAGTCAAAGGGCAAGGTACGTGTGCTCATGGTCCAGCATTGGATCCCTTGACCGGCCTCCGTCTCTGACAGGCAGTCCGCGCCCGGCTTCTTAAAGAGGTTAAAAGCGGCCGTCAGAGTGGAGCCCTGGCAGCCAAAATCGCTGGCCGATGGCCAAGACTTCCTCTTCCGTGCTGAAGGTGCGACTGTTCATGAACAAAGTCTGGCACCAGGTTGAAAGTGTTTTCGTTGGCATTTGCGGGGGAGTCATCATTCCAGGATTTCTTTGGTGCAGGATGTGCAGGATTTCGTCCGTCAGTATGAGTGGTTGGGAGTGAGGATGGGACTGCAGTGTCTTGGTTTTTCGCTCCCTTCCTCTTTGGGCTGAAGCAGGCCGTGGCCATGGCTCCCACAACTCAAACCTTCACATTGGTCCTCGAAAAAACTCCCCCCCCTCCTTGAGATCGAGGTTGATGACCAACCCTTCCAGCCCCAACCGGGCTCCTACACCAGAAACCTTTACATTGGTCGCCGAACACCATCCAGACAGGTGGGCCATCCCAACTAACCAACCGATTTCTTTGACAGCGCCTGCCTCAAGCTCCACCTCGTGCTCGAGCCTCTCTAAGATATCCCGCGCTTTGTCTTCGTCACCCATGAAGATCGCATTTTCGCAATCCTGCGAAAATACAACAAAATATCGGTGCACCACATGGACACTCAATGTTTTATTTGAGTTGTACTCGGTCTCGTTGTTCCAACATGTTGGGGCCTTGCTGAGACCTGTCGGTGCTGGCATCCAGTGGGATTCACATGCGAGTATCTCATCTCTGTTCACCAAAAAAACAACGAGATAAAGTGCGAGTAAGGCGGAAAGAGATGTCATGCCTTTCTCATCTATGAGGAATGCTAGGAAGTTGAGGCACGGGATGCGCTAATCGCTGGGCTGAAGGGTCTACCCAAACGTGCTCTGGCTCTGCATTCCGAGCCGGATGCTTTGAACCCGAGTGCCGAGTAGGTCAAGAGCGAAACACATATTGACCCTCCGCTTTGATCCCCTGTTTAGCATCCAAAGGAGTGTGTTTCTCAAAAAAAAAGAAAGAAACGAAATCGAGGGCGCTCCTTCACGATGGGAAACAAACCATGCGCAGGCAACGCCAGGAAGGTGAAGCTTTGCTGCATTTCCTTCAAGGCTTTGCCCATGGGGCTGTCCTGGCACGCAGCGCCAAACCGGCTGAGTGCATCGTTTTGGATCATGCGGTGTCCAGTGGAAAACTTGATGGCACCGGTCTATAAGAACCAACCTGTAAGCATGCTCCGTGTTCAACCAAACTACGCTTCTAAAACGGACATGTTAGGGAGCTTTTGGTGCAAGGTCTGCCAGTGAATCCGTGATTCCACTCACAAAAAAACACAAATAGCCATGGGAAGCCAGTGACGCAGGTAAACAAAAGCCGAGAACCAGCCCGGAAGCAGAGCGAATCTTACTTTTCCAACAGGAGCTTCCTCTAAAAAGGACTCGTCTGTTTGGATGCCAAAGTGTTCTTAGGGAAGCGAGTCTCATAGTTGCTGAGCGCTTGGCGGGCACACTGCGAGTTGGCCGCATGCTGGAGTCATAGCTGGACACAGGCCTTGCGCCGGCCGACCGTCGCCGCGACCAAGGCAGCTATGTTGAGCCCATACTAATCAACCCCTGTTTATGAAAATAGGGGGGGGGGGGCCCCAAAAGTGATCTGATTCCCCACTAAACCTCGGAACACCCCCCTACTACTAAACAGGGGTTGATTAATATGGGGTCAACCTTACATACTGTCCGCTTTCCTGTCCAAGCTGCTGGGGGTTAATGGTCGGCCCGACTAACCAAATCTGAGCATGGAATGGGACTCAGCATGGAAGCCGCGACTGGTGGCCGTTTGCCCCCTGCCCGTTTGCCCCCTTGAGGGGCGTTCTAGGTAAACAAAACACATGTGGGCCATTTAGCCAGAATCAGCATGGAAGTGGAGGACCGGAGAACTTTGGAAGACGAAAGCCGTGACAAAAGTGTTCAGACTGAGGCCTCGGCTCATCGCTAACCACGATCGGTGAGACACAATGTCTGCATGCGCTGAACAGTTCAAACATTGCCCCGCATGCAAGGACGTCAAAGCACTGGCCTCGAGCATCCTTGAGCCAAAGCCACAAGCAACAGGATGCTGATATACCGATATACTTCCCGGTATTCCCTACCAGCTGGCACGGAACTTGCACGACCATTCCAAAGGGACAACTGCCAACCCGAACAACCACTCGCGCTTGGAGACCCTGGCTTCCATTTGGTTAAGGCCCCAGGAAAACAAAAATACCAGTAGTGATGAATTCAATTGAAAACCAACAAGGGAAAATCAAAAATGTTCTTGAGCAAATGGAGGCTAGAGATCCCTGGCCTGAGAATCACTGAGATCTCTGACTCCGGAACAAAGCCGTCGCCTTCCGGCCTGGCGAAAGGAATTTCGGGCTCGTGCCATGCGTACAGCGACGCGTTGCCTCCAAGTCTCTTTCAACCACGGGAAGCTGGTCTAGAGCTTGTCTTGTGGGGTCAAAACATGCCTGCTTTGCGACTCCATTCGCTCCAGCACGTAAGTGAACACATCAGGACCTGCAGGGCGTCCACTTGCAATGGAATACTCTGCCCCAGCAAGTGGTGCACATTTGAATGGGCCAGGGCTTGAAGTGCGACTGAAGTGGTTTTCGAAGGCCCGCTGACACGTTCCAAACGACTAGCGGATGGCTCGAAGTAGCTGGCGCCGTGGTCGTACCAACAACAAGCAACATAGAGCTGGACTGGATGCGCATGGGAGGCCGTGTTCTTTTGACATTTGTGGGTCACGGGGAAAGTGCCCTGACGGCCTGTGCAAAGTTCCATGACCAAGAAAAAGTTTGCAGTGTCGTCGAAGTATTCGATCACCTGCGGCAACGTCCAGTGACAAAAATGCTTGGGCCAGCCGCTTGTAGCACGGTAGGGGACCAAGCTTTGATCGTCCTTGCCGTGATTGGCAGACAAGTGGCGGACAGCATGCTATAATTTGGGCCGACGTCAACTGGTGTCGCTGGTCATGTCGACGGCTTCTTTGGGCATCGGAAAACAGCTTGAACAATGAACGGCTCTTTTTTTCTGGGACCTGCTGAATTTCCATACAGGGATTATATGAAAGGCTAGCTGCGCCAAAGCTTCTGGAGAGCATTTCCGGGAAGAAGAAACCCACAGTGACCAAAGACACGTTGCCATTTAGCGGAAATGGCCAATGGTGATAGGGGACATGCCATGACCCAAACGGGACATGCAAACAATGGCGACCAAAATAAGCCGTGCACAGCCAACTGTTGAACAGCTAGCTCAAAGAAAGTGCTGCGATTGGATTACTGCTGTCAGAAAATGGACATGCGTTGAAAGCCAGCATCCTCGCGCTGGAGAGATTGCATGGAACTTCTAGCCATAGGCAGCCTCCGGGGCCGTATGTTTTTCCAACAAAACTTGTCGTTTCGAATTTGTGTGTCTCGAATTTGTGTGTCTTTCATTTTACACTTTGGCCCAAGGCTCACAGGGTGAAGCAACGAACAACACCACAGGTCGACACTTGGAAAGCCACAGGTCCCACCAAAAAACCAGGCGCTCTTGGGCGCTTCTTAGCGCGCGCCGTTTCGATCCAAGGACCGCGGCAATTTCTTTCGCGCGCCACAGGCCGCAGGCCGTTTCGAGCCTCCACGACGTGGGGGTGATCCAAGGCTTGCAGGGCCTGGAAAAGGCGAAAGTCAGTGCCCAGCCAACTGGGTGGTGGTTGGTTGGCTGTCTTGTTGGTTGCTTAAAGAGTTGTTTTGTGGATCTGATCATTGGGACTAGAGGTTGGTTGGCTAAAGAGTTGTTTTGTTTTTGGTGGATCTGACCATTAGAAACACTAGGCACAGAGGAAACAACCCCAAAAACCACTCTTTAGCCAAGCAAGCACCTGTCACCCCAAAAAATCACACATAGGAACACTCCTCACAATCCTTGCAAAGCTTCGTCAAGACCACAACCATGCAGGTTCGACTTGATGAGGCAGGAGGATTGAGGGATGAATTTTGAACCCAGGTTAAGGCAGTGCTGACGCCAAAACCATTGCCAAAACACGACTTGAATGCTATGAGTCCAATGAAAGAGGGTTGTGTTCCTAGGTCCGTCAGCCGGCAGCACCGCTTGTTTGGCCTGGAGGAGGGCAGGTGAGAGTTGTCACCAAATCCGCCCGTCCACCCAACGCAGCCCAATGTGAAGGCTAAACGAACCCCGGACCAACCCAAGGCTATATAACGAATCAAGCCCCAAACAACTCTTTAGCCAACCAACTAACAACACAGCCAACCAATCACCAACCATCCGTCACCGCAAAGAGAAACCATAGCCAGCAACAATTGACAATTCACATCCTTGCAAAACAACCTTCGTCTAAAATAAACTATGCAGCACTTGAGGCCTGTTGGATTTGAAACAAAGGAGGGCGTATCATTCTTGATGCCTACAGCACTGCGGACGCGACAGCCTTTCGCGGCCAAATCCAATGCATCATCCAAACACAGACCCACGCGCGACCCCGGGCTGAAATGACGGAGTCACCTCGGGACCGCTGCAGGCTGATCTGGTAGTTACATGCATGGGTCGGTTGATCCATGTACAAGCTTGCGCCAGACTAGCTGTGCTGACTTTGCTGCAATCCTGACCTCCAGGCCGCCAAACGAGACCCACTCATGTTCCGCGCGGCGCGCGTTCCGCTCCAGCAAAACAACCAACAAAGCGATGGCGCAATGGAGGGCTAAGCTGCGGAGCACTCACCTTTAGCATGCTGTCCAGTCACAAGGCACAAGCATGCGCTCGTCCACGCCTTGAGTTCCAGCTCGAACTCCCCATCTTCTGTACCAGCATGAGGGATTTCTTTCACTGCCTTGGTCTTTAGGCAGCCCGAACCGAATGCTTTCCAATGCTTCAGGGCTGATGACCCTTCCGCCCAGTGTAAAAGTGTGCTTTGACTATGACACGGAATCTGGCAGCAAGTTTGAATTACCATCATTCCAAAACCTGAAGTAAGATAAACCTCCAGCAAAGGGCCTTCTTGAACTCGCTTTACTAACCCCCGGTGAAGCTCCAAAAAATGGGCAAGCAGGCAAGCATTGTTAACGCAGCTGCGAACCGGGGCACCCCACTCTCAAGATCCCAGTGCGTCGGTGCTGAGCCTGAAGCTGACACGTGTCCAATGTTCTCGGCAGTGTGTCCGCATGACGTGAGTGTGGGTCAAAAAATAGGCACTCAAAATGTAACCCTGGTAAGTGGCAACATGGACCAAAACCTGCGGTCCGATTCTTGGTCCCCTGGTGGTTGAATTTTGACCCACACCCAAATGCTTGGCTTCCCTTCACTCGCCCGCGTGGCCTTGTACACCTTACCGAAGGAGCCTTCGCCCAGGAGCTCCTTGAACTCGTACTCGCTGTGGATCTGTGAACTTCCCGAGCTCAATGCACTTCGGGGGGGGAGTTTGGGGGGCGGGGGGGCGGGTTTGGGGTGGGGGGGACCTCAAAGCGAGTTTGGGGGGGATTTTTGTTTTTTTTGGGGGGGGCCCCTGGAAAGAGACATTCATGGAGGGTTGCGCTGTGCATTGGCGAAGACCATTTGTTGCACCAGATGACCAGCTGGGATGTTGGTGGTTTATCCCATGTGCATGGGGTGCTTTGATCCATCACAACTGCTGGTGCGGGATTTTGCCAGCGTTTGAGCCAACGATCGACACCCAGCCTGTCGGACATTCCTCCTGACCAGGTCCTTCCAAGCACTTCCACAGGGATGTGCTGGCATATAGCCTTCTTTTAGACGGCGCTTGTTGGATTGGTTCTGAGGGAACACCAAAGAAAAACCCGGAGACGAGCCCATATCTCAAAATGAAGACCCCCTGTCTTGCCTGGAAAGGGTAATCAGGAAACCAAACGGGCCAGCATTGAGGCACATGACACAGCCAGGAGGCAACTGCGCTGCTGAGCCTGTCCTCTCTGCCAAAGTCAGCAGGCGACGCGCAAACGACTGGGCTGCAAGGAAAGGCCTCAGACAATAAGTGGGCAACACTAGAATCCCTGCAAAAAAGGTGACCAGGTTTGATTGCTAAAATGTCTCTCAAAAGAGGCCCCCCCGTCTTGACATATATTGAGACGCGCCGTGTTCATACGTGAGAAAAAGGGCTCCGGTGCATAAGTAGGTTGCGCTCGCATCCGCAAAGGTGAGTCGTGGAGGGCCATCTGGCGGCGCCTGCCGCTGGAGAAAGCTCTCGCGCAACAGGACAAATGGGAAAGGAGCCCGTTTCTTGCAGGTGCAAGATCCAATTACATTACTTGCTGGTTCTCAACCGGGAATGAGGGAATGACCCGTATAAACCATTCCCTGTGGTTTCCCGTCAGGGGAATCCCGAAAACCGGTTCATTCCCACCGGAGGGTTCCCTATCGCACAAGGGGCAAGCGGGCCTCATGCAGCGGCGAAGCTTGCGACGATGGAGACAAACAGGAGCCCACCTCGATCTGAGGCGTCCCGAACCCAGCTGTGGCAAGCTGCCCGCAGAACGACCATCCAACCTGAACTTCTCAGATGCCCAATGGATTTCCATGGGAAGGCATCCTCTTTTGGTTGGCTGACCTGAAAGCAGTGGAAAAGCACCGCCCGGTCTCAAACTTCTCCACAGCCAGCCAGAAAAGCAAGAGCTGTCCTCACAAGGAAAAGCGCTTCACATTGCCTTTCGAGACCTGAAAAAACACGATCCTCGTGAAAAGCACCATGAGTAAGGACCCAAACAGGAAAAACAACGAATTACAACAGCTAAAAACAGAAAACAACAGCTAAAAAGAACAACAAAAAGAAAAAAAGAAAAAGAAAAAACAACAGCTAAAAGGGTGAAAGAGCTATGTGAGCCTACCGGGCCAGAAGGCTCTGGCGTGGCGACCGCTGCGACCGGTGCTAAAACCAAAGGCCCGGAAGAGTTCCAAGATGTTCCAAGCACAAGGCTCGTGTCTCTGAAGTCCTCTCGAGCCTTCAAGAAGGCAAATAGTTTTGGAGAAAATTGCGTCTCTAACTGGGGTCCCTGGCAAAGTGGCTTTCACCGTCCGCGCTGTCGTTCCGCCTTGGTCCATTGGTTGTTCTACGCAAATGCTAGGGCTCATTTCTGGGCGCCTCCTCCATTTTGGGAGGATCCCATTGCAAGCCGCGTGTAGCCAGATCTGGGCCACCAGCTCAAGCGCTGGGCCTTTGGGTCCACCCCGGCGCTTTCGATGCCACTCCTGAGACGGGCAACTGGTCCCCGAACTAACTCCCCGAACTGGTTGAGCTGACCCCCTAAGCCGAAACACGAGGTCTTCACACAAACCTGAACTGGGATACCTGACGATCAAGGCAGATGACAGCGCAGGCCACGAGGGCATGGCCGCGGTTGCCTCCCTCATCGGATTTGCTAACAATGCCTGATCTGTCGTTAGTCTGAGTGCCTCTGCTCAAGCCTTTGATAATATCGTGGTTGATGGCCAGCAACTTGTTTGCGCTGGTGTCAAATACAAAGTCATTGCTTTGCGCTCAGAAGAAAAAACCTGCTTGCACAAAATAACATATGCGCTTCCTGACGGCATGAAATCATGGCGGGCTGCGCGTGAGCCGGCGTGTTGGCACGAAATGGCGGTGGCCCAAGTAAGCCCCGCTTTCCGCTTCTTGCTCGCTGACAAGCAGGGGTTCTGTATCAATCTCCGGAGTAAGTTGGGAGTTGCTTACTCCAATGCAGTTGCCCCTTTGCGCAAGTCGCATGATATACAAAGTGAACTCTACATGGGCAAGCGCCATCGAAGCTGCACTTTTCTCCTGTCCAGTGAGCGCCACCTGCCTACCTACTGCACACAACTCCCGCAGCGACTAGCTCGCTGCAAGACGCCTTACAACTAACGTGTTCTGCGCGGTTTTTTTGACCCCCAAACCTCATGGATGCCGTGTGGAGATAGAGGAGCAAGTGTCAAATGTCCTTTGCCTAGTAAAACAGCTCCTTCAATCGTAAGGTGAAGATTGAGCAACTTTTGGCTCTTGAGTGCGCAACCTGGAAGCCGATAGTGAAACCTGCCGGTGAAACCGAATTCTGCCTTAGCTTGCTCCTTGCCGCGCTTTGGGCACTGCCTCAAGCAGGAGGAGGGCTGGCCGCGAGTTCTCCCAGCGGAAAACTTCGGCTTCCCAGGCAACACCCCTATGTTTCCCGCTCGAACGTTGATTCATCCGGCAAAGGAGTTTGCTGGCTTTCACCTTGCCCGCTCTCGTGGTCTTTGGCCGAGCCCATCGCGTCACCGGGAATTCTTTGGACGCCACTGGCATCCACAACCGCGCCGGGCGCTGTGGCTTCACTCCGCGCAGCGAAACCACGCAGGGACGCGGGTGCAAAGCTGGAAGCCTCGCTGGCTGCACTCGAGCTGGATCCCATCCCCGCAGCCGTTGCCCGCTCGGATGCCAACAAATCAATGGAAAAGCCGACCTTTGTGGGGCTTGATCCTGCCAGTTTTTCCGCCTGCTCGCTGCTTTCCAGGAACTTCTGCAGCTTGGTGCTTGGCTCACCTCTGTCCACATCATCAGTCCCAAACGCCTTGTCAGGCTCCGCGGCGCTTCCAAGGGACGCGCTGCCGCTTCTGCTGCCAAAGTGGCTGGGGCTGGTGTCAAAGACCTTGCTTCTGCCTTGTGTGCTGCTGGCACTGCTGCCTCCCAGCGACGAGGGCGATGCGTTTGCGATGCTCCCAGAGAGGGGTCTCGACCTTGATTCTGCAGGCTCCTCCTCTTCGTTTTCTTCATTGCCTGCCTGCTTGCTGCTTTCCAGTGGCAGTTTGGTTCTAGGCTTCAACCTGTCCTCATCATCAGCCCCAAATGCCTTGTCAGGCTCAGCGCTGCCTCGAAGATCATCGGCGCTGCTTCTGCTGGCAAAGCTGCTGGGGGTGTTGCCAAAGACCTTGCTTCCGCCTTGCATGCTGCTGGCGCTGCTGGCGCTGCTGGCGCTGCTGGAGTAGGGTGGTGTCTTTGCCGTTCTCCCGCTGGCGAGCGTCGACCCCGAAGTCTCCTCTTCGCCCACTTCCTTGCTATCCTGCTCGCTGCTTTCCAGGAATTTCTGCAATTTGGTGCTGGGCTCAGCCCCGTCCACATCGTCAGCTCCAAACGCCTTGTCAGACTCCGCGTTGCTTCCAAGATCATCAGCCTTGCTTCTGCTGGACGCGATGCTGCTTCCGCTGCCAAAGCTGCTGGGGCTGCCAAAGCTGCTGGGGCTGTTGCCAAAGACCTGGCTTCCACTTTGTCTGCTGCTGGCACTGCTGCTCCCGATGCTGCCAGAGAGGGGCCTCGACCTTGATCCCGCAGGCTCCTCTTCTTCGTCCTCTTGATTGCCAGCCTGCTTGCTGCTTGCCAGTGGCAGTTTGGTGCTAGGCTTCAACCCGTCCTCATCAGCAGCCCGGAAGGCCTTGTCAGGCTCAGCGCTGCCTCGAAGATCATCGGCGCTGCTTCTGCTGGCAAAGCTGCTGGGGGTGTTGCCAAAGACCTTGCTTCCGTCTTGCCTGCTGCTGGCGCTGCTGGCGCTGCTGGAGTAGGGTGGTGCTTTTTTCGCACTCCCATTGAAGAGCGCCGACCCCAAAGTCTCCACTTCGCCCGCTTCCTTGCTATCCTGATCGCTGCTTTCCAGGAATTTCTGCAATTTGGTGCTGGGCTCAGCCCCGTCCACATCGTCAGCTCCAAACGCCTTGTCTGCCCCAGCGCTGCCAACATCATCAGCTTTGCTTCTGCTGGACGCGCTGCTACTGCTGCTGCCAAAGCTGGCGCTGCTGCCAAAGCTGGCGCTGCTGCCAAAGCTGGCGCTGTTGCCAAAGCCGCTGCTCTCACCTTGCCCAGTGCTGGCACTGCTGCTGGAGTATGGCAATGGTTTTGCCACGCTCCCAAAGACAGGACCCGAGCGCGATCCCACAGTCTCATCGTCGTCCTCTTGATTGCCAGCCTGCTTGCTGCTTTCCAGTGGCAGTTTGGTGCTAGGCTTCAACTCGTCCTCATCATCAGCCCCAAATGCCTTGTCAGGCTCAGCGCTTCTTCCAAAATCAATGGTTTTACTTCTGCGGACAACGCTGCTGGGACTGCTGCCAAAAGACTTGCTTCCGCCTTGATTGCTGCCGGCGCTGTTGGCGCTGCTGAAGTAGGGTGGTGTCTTTGCCGTTCTCCCGCTGGCGAGCGTCGACCCCGAAGTCTCCTCTTCGCCCACTTCCTTGCTATCCTGCTCGCTGCTTTCAAGGAATTTCTGCAATTTGGTGCTAGGCTCAGCCCCGTCCACATCGTCAGCTCCAAACGCCTTGTCAGCCCCAGCGCTGCTTCCAAGATCATCGGCTTTGCTTCTGCTGGACGTGCTGCTACTTCTGCTGCCAAAGCTGGCGCTGTTGCCAAAGCTGGCGCTGTTGCCAAAGCCGCTGCTTTCACCTTGCCCAGTGCTGGCACTGCTGCTGGAGTATGGCGATGTTTTTGCCACGCTCCCAAAGACAGGACCCGAGCGCGATTCTGCAGTCTCCTCCTCGTCCTCTTCCTTGCCAGCCTGCTTGTTGCTTCTCAGTGGCAGTTTGGTGCTAGGCTTCAACTCGTGCTCATCATCAGCCCCAAATGCCTTGTCAGGCTCAGCGTTGCTTCCAAAATCATTGGCGCTACTTCTGCTGACAACGCTGCTGGGACTGTTGCCAAAGGCCTTGCTTCCGCCTTGCTTGCTGCTGGCGCTGCTGGCGCTGCTGGAGCTGCTGGCGCTGCTGGAGTAGGGTGGAGTCTTTGCCGTTCTCCCGCTGGCGAGCGTCGACCCCGAAGTCTCCTCTTCGCCCACTTCCTTGCTATCCTGCTCGCTGCTTTCCAGGAATTTCTGCAATTTGGTGCTGGGCTCAGCCCCGTCCACATCATCAGCTCCAAACGCCTTGTCAGCCCCAGCGCTGCTTCCAAGATCATCGGCTTTGCTTCTGCTGGACGCGCTGCTACTTCTGCTGCCAAAGCTGGCGCTGTTGCCAAAGCTAGCGCTGTTGCCAATGCCGCTGCTTTCACCTTGCCCAGTGCTGGCACTGCTGCTGGAGTATGGCGATGTTTTTGCCACGCTCCCAAAGACAGGACCCGAGCGCGATTCTGCAGTCTCCTCCTCGTCCTCTTCCTTGCCAGCCTGCTTGTTGCTTCTCAGTGGCAGTTTGGTGCTAGGCTTCAACTCGTGCTCATCATCAGCCCCAAATGCCTTGTCAGGCTCAGCGTTGCTTCCAAAATCATTGGCGCTACTTCTGCTGACAACGCTGCTGGGACTGTTGCCAAAGGCCTTGCTTCCGCCTTGCTTGCTGCTGGCGCTGCTGGCGCTGCTGGCGCTGCTGGCGCTGCTGGCGCTGCTGGAGTAGGGTGGTGTCTTTGCCGTTCTCCCGCTGGCGAGCGTCGGCCCCGAAGTCTCCTCTTCGCCCACTTCCTTGCTATCCTGCTCGCTGCTTTCCAGGAGTTTCTGCAATTTGGTGCTGGGCTCAGCCCCGTCCACATCATCAGCTCCAAACGCCTTGTCAGCCCCAGCGCTGCTTCCAAGATCATCGGCTTTGCTTCTGCTGGAAGCGCTGCTACTTCTGCTGCCAAAGCTGGCGCTGTTGCCAAAGCTGGCGCTGTTGCCAAAGCCGCTGCTTTCACCTTGCCCAGTGCTGGCACTGCTGCTGGAGTATGGCGATGTTTTTGCCACGCTCCCAAAGACAGGACCCGAGCTCGATTCTGCAGTCTCCTCCTCGTCCTCTGCCTGCTTGTTGCTTCTCAGTGGTAGTTTGGTGCTAGGCTCAGCCCTGTCCACATCATCAGCCCCAAACGTCCTGTGAGGAGCGCTGCTTCCAAGATCATCGGCTTTACTTCTGCTGCCAAAGC